CATGGTTATCATCAGACAGGCCCGATCACAACTTTAGGATCGCGGCGCGCCGAGGAGCGGCTTCAGTCCAACGACTATCACCCGAGGAAAAGGATCTATTTCACCAATCCCTGAAGACCTTCATCGACCGGAAGTACTGTGGTATTGTCCAAGACAACTCTATCGGCAACTATACAATCCCACCATCATCTGAACGTTGTCAAGCTATCTGGCGTGTTCTACATGAAGGTACATCTATGGCAGGATCTATCGTACCTAAGCCTATCCACTATACGCCGAGCCATATGGTGTTTCGTAAGGATCACTGCACTACTCCGTGTAGGATTGTACTAGATTATCGAGTTCTAAATCGATTCTCGAATCGAGGAGGATCAACTCAACATAATCTAGTTGGTACTTTACTATCGGTAAGATCAATGGAGTATATGATATCAGCTGATATATCCAAAGCATTTTGTGAAATGTTCGCGGATCCAATGGATATTCCGTTTATCGGATATACTTGCATCGGCAATTTCACTCTATTGTGGAATCGAGTCAGCTTTGGATCTACTTGTGCGCCAGCTATGTTGGAGACTGATATCAACGACATGTCTGACGAGATCTATCAAGTTATTTTGATCGCTAAAGCTCGAGAACCATCGAGACCGCCTACATCGACAGTTCCTGGTTGGAATCTACCCACAGAAGATCTGATGAATGTCCTCTTATGCCCCACTAACGATAATGTCGACTGGAACCGATTCGGACCACAAGTCCCTATCGTGATATCGATGGTCTGGTTCGTTGACGACGTCTACATCGGTGGTTTATCTAGATCACACACTATCGACTGCTACAGCTTTGCTGCACACATCTACGAGGGACATCATAAACTATTCGATCCCAACAAGAACTTCACATCATGGGTCGATGAACAACATCAAGATCAGCCCGAGGCACTGAAGAAATTACTTGGCTATCTATTTCGTCGATCCTCTGATCTTCTACATGCTGTTTACGAAGCAGATCGACTATCTGAAGAAGACTGTATCACTAAAAGGAAGGCTAGTTCCTATCTCCTATCTCTATATGATCCTCTCGGGCTTGTTCTAGAGCACACAATGGTTGGTCGACTTATCTGGCGGAAGATCACTGAAGCTACAACAGATTGGGATGCTAAAATCACTGACGATCATCGACAACAAGTATCTGATTGGGTGAACGCCTCTTGTATCCCCTGCCTACGATCTAAGGCATACCGTGGACTTAATTATGTATCAAGATCTGTCCAAGCCCTGGCAACGAAGTCTATCTGGCAAGTTTGCGGAGCCGATATTGTCGGACCCTATCAACGAGACGAAGCTGAACAAGGATCTACTCGTGTCTTAACTCGTAAGAGGTATATCTTACTGGTCCACGACGCCATCACGAG